CCTACCGGTCCGTACACTCCCCCAAATCCCCACTCCACCCCACTCACCCTATCTTTGACGAGACCTTTCCCCTACCGGTCCGTACACTCCCCCAAATCCCCACTCCACCCCACTCATCCTATCTTTGACGAGAGCCGCTAAAGAAAAAACTCTCTTCTTAATCTCCTTTACCTCCAAGCTTCTATCATCCCACATAAATAGAATGCCCATGCCCCTGACACTTCCCGCTGCTGTGACCCAGTCATATTTCATCCAACTACCTCCCCAGACACTTCTCATGATCGCATCCGACAAAACTTCCATTTTGGTCTCCTAAAAACAAACTAGGTTGGCACCCCACTCTCTAACTCCTACTTTGATGGATGACCCTTTTGTTTGGGTCATTCATCCCCCTCACGTTCCATGAAAGAATCTTAACTTCCATAAGTAACAATAGCCCCCTTTTCCCCATCCCCCCTAGCCGGGGTCCCTTTCTCCCTGTCACATACCCGACCCCTTCTCTGATACACCACTACATCCACTAAGTTATTTTGCTTAACACCTTTACCCAACTCCCTCCCTGCACCTTCATAAAAAGACTATTGCTCAATCTCCCTCAACAGTTCTAGCACCCTATCTTCCTTCCCTTCAAAAGAAACATCTAAGAACTTCCCAAAGTTTAATAGTTTATCCTCCATCCAGAACGACATATCCCCTTCTCCAATCCGTGACAAAATTGGACAGGCGTCTTCTGTATGTACCCTTTCCTTGCCCCTACCGGAGGAATACAAGACCATAGCATTGCTAGCAAAAGGAACTTTAGGTGCCGGGAAGATCTCATCGTTTCCTTGAGAGGCACCAACCTCTGAAATTAATGCCTCTATGCTATAGAAATGACCAGAAATGCCAGAAGGGTATCAGGATGGAACCCTTGGCGGCATATTAACTGGTATTACTGGCCCGCCACTGACATCAATTGGGGCAGGCGCAACAATCTCCCGAGAAGAGGGAGGAGCTTGTATTGTAACCTCAGCACAGCTAAGCATAGGGGGAGATGAAGCTGGGTTCATTAGAGGCGGGAGGCTGTGGAATAACACCACCAGCTTTAGCCGATGCTGCCCCTGGAGCAGCGGCCCAAGAGGGGCGCAGGTCACTAGAACTTGGTGAAGAAATACCACTGTGTGAAGCACCATTGGCAGAAGAAGAAGGAGTGACTACTCCCGTATGCTTAGGAGCCTTATCAGACGCAGCTTTATATAATCTGGGCCCCTTGGGATCAATTCTAATAGAATTGGGAAAAGTTGCTGGGCCTGTGTGGAGGCCCAGGCTTGTACTTGCTGAAATCTTGCCTGGCCCTATGATAGTTAAAAGATGACCGGCCCATTCTGCCTTTCCAGCCCGCATCACTAACCCAGGGGCATTCACGTCTTTTCCTCCCGATAAAGTTTTGTCTTCTTCTCCCAAATTCAAACCCCCCGTCTCTTCTTGATCTAACGTCTGATTCCGGCTTAGTCCACTGATCCGGTGAGTCCTCCCCTCCCTGCAGAGACTGATTTCCCCTCCCCTTCCTTCTATTTGACCTTCCCTTTTCTTCCACCACTACCACATGCATAAATATAGGGCGAAATTCAGGGCTCAACCAAACCCTGTAACTCATGTAGCCATCTTCCACCACAATGGAGACAGGGATTCTGCCCCCTTTCCTCACCACAATCCTCACTCGCGAGAGATCGTGTAGGCTGCTAGTTACATCAATAAACCCCCACAGATTTTCCCAATTTTCTTGAATAGGTCAAGACACCAAAGATACACCGGGAGACCCATCATGTTGATCACCAAAGTTTCGCCGGGGAAACGAGGGTCGTGACACCCATCGTGCTCCACCCATCTGTCTAGCTTTAAGAAGTTCCCATCAAACCACATGTTTCCTCTGACAAGAATTTCTGAAGCTTGAGACTCGTCGACAAATCAAAAGAGATATTGTGTGTCCCCCAGTTGCAATATTTTCACTCCGTCCTTGACGTTCCATACCTCTGCTGTCTAGTTCCTAACAGCCTCTGGAGAACCAATCCATTTGGAGAAAGACCCAATCAGACGAGATTCCAAGAAACCCTTCTTGTGCCTGAGGGTGTGCTCCCAAGACAGCGAGAAGTGCGGCTCCTGCCCTACGTCGAGCTTTCGATGGCATCTTCCCTCAAGTTCTAGGGCTGGCCAAGAGGCAGCTTTGATAAAAGACATGTTTTCCAGCTTTCTAGATTCTAGAGAAAAGTAGGAGCTTCTCACTCTAGAGTCCATCATATCTAAATTCGGCTTTCCCAAAATACTATCCGTATCTCTGGTGCTGCATGATGTCGTAAAATTCATAGAATGCCGCCTAAATCTGAAGATTTTCGCCGGAAAATAGGAGAAATCTTCTGATTTAGGAGGAACTGGGATGGGAAGGCTCGGAAAAGCCTCGCGAAGAGGCTGTCTGAAGAAGAAGTAGTGAGGTCTGGTCGGAGAAAGCCTCACCCGTCGCCGGAAAACAGTAAAAGTCGTCGGAATTTGGATATTTTTGGACTGGAAGGCTCGGAACAGCCTCGCGATGAGGCTGTCTGAAGGGAAAAAAGTGAGATCTGGCCGGAATCTACCTCACGCGCCGGCGCGTGGCTGAGAGGTCGCCGGAACTGGGCCGCGCGTGAGGGCACGTGGGTGGTCGTACGCCGGAGGTTCTAGCTGGGTTTTGGTCGCGATAGGCTTGTCTCTGGGAGGGTGGTGGTACAATCCTAGGATTCATGAAGGATAATTGTCTCGGGGTAAGTGCCTGAGAGCATTTTACTGTAAATCATTGTCCATTTTGGGAGAGCATCTTCTAATTATTTCATTTCAGTCTTTACTTTCCTCTTATATCTCACTTCAGAACAAGTGGGATTTCCAATCCAGGTAGGATTAGGGGATCTGTACCGTAGAAAATCCTTGTGTGGCTGCTCAGTTAATTTTATTAAACTAGTTATAGAAGTAAACAGAAAACAACTCTTTCATCTGCCATTAAGTTGATCATTATATTGGTAGAAGTGGTTTACGGTGCTACACATTGATTTTTCGTGGTGATCATTTGGTTGGGAAACTTCAGCTTTCTTATCCACTCTGATATTTCTCTTTCCCATATGCTAATGAAGAGAATGGATGACCTTTAAATCCTCTACTATATGCTTTTAAGGGGGATTTGTTAGGGGATCCGGATTCATAGTTGTCTTAGTTACAAAGATATCTTTCTTACTTTTTTTTCCAGTTTATGAGAGTTTTATTTGGTATGCAGAAGTTCGTTAAAATCAAGACTTTCATTTGGTTGTCTTTGTGATAGACCCAATACCTAAGGCCAAATTTAGTTTCTCAGCAAGACCTACTTTCTACTGTCTCTGAGATTCTCTTCTGCACTGAGATCGTCTAGTCCTTTCAGGAAGCTTGTGATTTGTTATTCACTTTATAGAATCCTTTGCAGGTTCTAGTTATATTGGAAAAAAATGTTTTACTTATTTAAAAAAAGAAATGATAAGAGCAGATACCACACTTGATCTTAGTCAAAAGGCCAAAATTGTATTACTTTCAAAAAAGAGCCTAACATTTTGTTAAGATGAGTGCGCCTCAGCTATGGTATGTATGTAACTTGAGCATAAAGCAAGAACTGTCAATTTACTCTTTGGCGTAAACCTATGAGTCTATTGCAGTATCTGACAGATCTGCATCTATATTGGAAGTCTTACTTTTGGGGCAATAACTTTGTACTACTTGTATTTGGCATAACTTGCTGTATGCCTTTCCTTCTGATAATAACTTTGGACTACTACTTGTATTTGGCATAACTTGTGCTATTCCTGTATGCCTTTCCTTCCCCGGCCATGTTTCTCTGTTCCTGAATCTGTTTGTCATTTGTAGAATATCAGTGACATCAGAAATTGCCGAAGAACGAAAGCACCTATCTTTGACCTTGAATCAGGCGCTCGTAGTGGCTTCAAGGAGCTTGAAGTTTCTGAAGAATGTGGAGTGGTATGATTAACCCCCCCCCACAAACACACACACACACACAAAAAAGAAAAAAAGAAAGTAAAAGCCACGAAAAAGGTAAGTCTTTGCACGATCTAAATAAGAAAAGAGACGATGTATGTTGAATTAGGTAAGTAAAGTGAAGACAAAATTGATTTCCTTCTAAAAGTTGTGAAGTTTATTGTTGGTATAGCTCTTGCTTTTTGCTGTTTAATCTTCTACAGTAATCAGAGAAGCTGAGTAAGGTTTGGTTTTTTTGGCTAGGTCATTTTTGAAGGTGTTTATGCTTTGCATCCTGACATCAGAAAATCACTGGATTTGTGGATTGCTGTTGTAAGTATGATGATGTTATACATGATTATCTTGAATTTGCTTCACTTTGTTTGTGAAAGTATTTAGGTAAGAAATTTATCACCAATGATTTTATTGCCTGTTTTGGAACAGGTTGGAGGTGTGCATTCACATCTTCTTTCCCGAGTTCAAAGAGACAAAAGTAGAGTTGGCTGCTTTATGTCCCAAAATGAAATTATGACAACTGTGTTTCCAATGTTCCAGCAGTACATTGAACCACATCTTGTTCATGCACATGTTAGTCTATTCTGGAAATATTTTTACTTTTCGTATTTCCTATATAATTTTCACTAGGTAGTTCAAATTTAGCAATAAATTGGGCTTTAGAATTTAGCGATCTTCTAAATCAAGCAGAATTTGCTACTAGAAATTGTAAGTAATTGTTGTCATCTCTTAGTAATGTTTATTTTGCATGGCTAGTATGTGGAAGTTTGTGTAATTACTTAATGATGCAAACCGCTTGATATTTTGTAACAAGTAGCGGTGCATGAGACAAGCTTTGTACAATATTGTGTAAATCAAAACTGCTTTTGACATAAAGTGGCAATAGAAATCCATTACTAAAATTGCAGTCATGGTAAAATCTTGGTTTATTTAATCATCAGGGACTCCCAAGCACACGAGTTTTCTACAAATAAAAATAGAATCTGTTATTAGTAAATTGCTAGTAATATTTATGGTGGTTTGGGATGGAGGAGAATGCACTTTGGAGGAGGTTGGTAGCGGAAAAGTATGGTATTATGGAAGGGGGATGGAGGACTAGAAATATCACAACACTGTCTAGATCATATTTCTTTCAGGGTTGCGGATGGACGCGGGCGGGGTTAGTTTTTGGGCACATGAGTGAAGCCTTTCCTAACATATATAGAGTATCTAGCCAAAGAGAGATGACAGTCCAACAAATCCGTAAGTCTCACGAGGAGGGGGGAGGTTCATTGGGATTTGAGATTCAGGAGGAACCTTCTTCCATCACTTGGTTGAGATATTGTAAGGTGTATGGAGATGGCGAGAGAGTAGACACGGATTATTCACTGTTAAATCTTAGTATTAGAGGTTATTAGGGAGAGAGGAATGTATCTTCCCTCGTTACTCTGTTTAGATTTCCAGGGCACCAAGAAAGGTTTGTTTCTTCGCGTGATTGGCAGCAAGGGGAGTGATTTTGATAGCGGAAAATTCGAGAATGAGGAGGATCACCTATGTTGGTGTTTCATGTGCAAAAGTTCGGGCGAAGATGTAGATCATCTCTCATTGCATTGTCAAATAGCTAATTGGTTATGGAGGCTGGTCCTTAATTTGTTTGGTATGCAATAGGTGATGCCGGGCACAATAAAGGAGGCGTTGTATAGTTGGGCTCATAGAAGGGGAAGAAGTCCAAGGGCATGGAATATTTCCCCCTTACAATCATGTGAGTTGTTTGGAATGAGAGAAATGGGAGAGCATTTGAAGGAGTGGAACAAGATTTTGTAAAATTGCAAAATAGTCTTTTGTTTCTAGTTTCTTTTTGGTGTACCCATGGAGTCCTGTATAGAAGATTGGGTCTCTTTTGTTGAGAACCATATTTTGATGTAGGCTCTCTTCTTTTTGGTCTATGTGCTTGTGTACGGGGTTTCCCCCAATTGTTAATAAAATTATTTACCTTATTAAAGACCTTTTTGATACCATTCTGCAGCTAAAAATCAGGAACGACTTTGATCCTGTGCTCTCTCCTGAGAGTTCATTGTTTGTGCTGAAAAGCAATAAACAGGTCAGTTGCTTCCATTATTCTACTATGTAGGACGCAAAACGAGTCTTTTGCTTTTGTTGCTTTAACTAGAAAACTGTTTACAGGTGGCATATCAAGATATCTTGAGAATTCTTGACCCTACCAAGATATGTAGTTCTGTCCAGAATTTTATTGATATATACTTGCGGCTTCCTGGAATACCTGCCAATGGCCAGTTAACTGAGAGTGATTGCATTAGAGTCAGAATATGTGAAGGAAGATTTGCATTGCTAATACGCGAGGTGTGTGATTTGACATGCATACAAATGTATTTATCAAAGGACATGCTCTACCGTTCCTTTTTTTGAAACTTTTGTGCAAATGCTCGACCATAGTGGCTTATATTTTCTACTGCTACATCTGAAGCCTATAAGAGAAGGAAATTATATTATTCAGCCGAAAGTGGACTTCGATATCAGCATTAGTACTGTTGCCGGCCTCCTTAATCTTGGGTACGTGAAGTATTTGACAATGGAGCTGGTTTTTATTAGGCCATTTCTTGCATCATCCATCCTTTTATTTCCACGCTTCATAATTTCATTTACTTTCGGCAGATAATGTGTATGATTCTGTTGTATCAATAATTCATGCCATTCAATTGCATTAGAAATTTTTCTTGTGTATACTCTGCTGTCTATTGCATGCTTGGCCTGCCTTGTATGAAATTGATCTCAAAGTTCGTGAAATAGACTAAAGGATGTACAACTGAAAATTTTTGTATGAGAACAAACATTTCCTCTTCTATGTAGATTCTGTAAATCCTTCTGAATTTGACATGTCTTGGATAGTTGATTGCTGTATTGCATGTTGAGTTTGTTTTCTTGTTATAAACAAGTAATGGTTATGAAAGGATAAAATGAAAGAAAGGGTTGCGGGGAGATTAGACAATATCTGGTACTTATAAAAGTTGAACACCTGCAGAGTTTAATTCTCAGCAAAGACAAAAAACACTAGGTGGTTTCTTCTCATCTCCCTAAGTTTTGGTGGACAGAGTTACCCGGTACCTGTGTTGGTGGTAGCTAGCAGGTACCCCGGTGGAATAGCGAGGTGCACGCAAGCTAGCCCGATCCTACTGTTATCAAGGAAAGAAAAGAAAAAAGAAGTTGAATGCCTGCTAGTGAAAGCAACAACCAGAATGGCTAGTCTTTACATAATAGAAAGACTATGGCGAGTTTTTACATAATAGAAAGATTATGTTTGATGTCCCAGAATGGGTAGTTCAGATGGTTTTCATTGAAGAGGAGGAAGAGAGAATGCAGGGGGGTGGAAGGGATGAGTCATTCTGGGGCTACCAACAACTTTAATGGAGAAGATGAGGGAAGCACCAGCAAGATGATGGTTGTAAAGGCCAAAATGGGTGGGGAAGTTCTTTAGAAGTCTGGCTTGGTTAAATGCATTTGTATGGACAAAATAAGATTCAGAAGCCAAGTACAACATATTCGACTGATATATGTTGCAGAAAATACCAAGTCTTTTCGTTTGATGGGTTTAACTTTTTCCCTTAGTTGATTTTTGGCTATGAAAGGACAATTGCTGGATGCAGCGCATTAATCTACCTTTTCCTCACTAATAGCTGGGCCAAGCTTTGTCCTAACATTTTTTCCTCTTTTGGTGATAAGTAAATAAAATATTTCTTTCCCACATAGGACGCAGTCTGAGGGCAACCTACTTACTTGATAACCCCTCAAAAAGGCAAAAAGAAAAAGCAAGAAAAAATGAGATACAGATAAAGGATAACAATCCCAGGCATGCTTTCCTCAAAATGACCCTAATGAAAAATACTGAATGTCTCTGTTATTGCTGCTTCTACGCTTTTTCTTTTCCATTTAACACTTTCTTATTCCATATTATATCCATCCTTTCTCATAAGTATTAGTAAACATAACGCTAATTCATATGTAACTTGACTAGTCATCTGCATTTATATCTTTTCTACGTTCTTTCCTTGTCAGTATATTTTGAATCAAATTCTTTATGCTTCATAATTTCTGATTTCAGGTATCAAGCAGTCGCGTATATTGAAGCTTCAGCTTATATCTACCAAGATGGGAAGGTACTCTCAGTTTTCTTGATACTTTTTTATCATACTGAGACACACGAAAGACTTGTCTACATTACTTGAATTGTAATCTATATCATCTGTGAGGAATAAGAGAAGAGGAATACAAGACACCTATTTCTAGGTGTTGTATAGAATTCATATCTTAAACCGACGAAAGACCGGCTTAATAATAACACTTAATGCTAACTCAACCATTATAACATACCAGCACTTTACTTCTAACTCGTCCCTTAAACTCAAAGTGGAGAGTCAACTTGAGTTTACTTATCCAGAAACAACAAATAAATTGTTGCTGGAATGGTTTATAGAAGGCATGTCGGAAGGTCATTGAAAAAGTTTTGATTCGCTAGAATCTCGCCAAAATTATGATAGATGGGATTTCGGCAGAAAAATTTTGGTCACTGAAAGAGAAAAATGGCTGGAAATATGAAATGTCGCGGAAAGTGGTATGCTGCCAATGCAACTGTCACCAGAGAAGAGGCACGATTAGTCATGGGTAAAAGGTACTGCTCATTTGGAATTGTCACAAATAATTGGCATGGTATTGTTAGAACGTTCATCGAAAAGAAGCACGGCTGCCACTGGAATGGTCACCCAAAAGAGATTTATTCCGGAAGAGCAGCCACCGAGATTTGCTCAATACTACTCCTTATTCAAAAAGAAATAAGAGTGGAGACACCAAACTGGTCACCATAAGGAGGAAAGACAGTACAATCAGAAGATGGAAACAAAGAGGACTTTCGGAGATTAGAAGAGAGGAAGAAAAAGATCTTGGTAGAATCAAAGAATTAACAGTAATTGAACAAGTGGAAGATTTCTGAGATTTATCACAAAAAGGACCTCTCAAGAAGGATTTCTTTAATAGGGGAATAGGAACAAATAGCTACACGGAAGAAATTTTGTTGGGGGCAGAAATCATGATGCTTGTGGTCAAGTGAAAGAGATAAAAAACACCGGATTTTTCCACCGACAGTACAACATCATTGTCAATTTGCTGGTAGAGAGGGAAGTAGCATATAGTATACAGTCATGATCCCTATTTGACTACTGATAGGAGGCTTTTCAGTTGCACTGCAGGTTTTCAGTAGTCTTCCTAGGTGTTGGTACGAATCTGTTTAACCTTTTATCGATGTGCTTTGGTTCTGATTCCTGATAATTTTTGTTTTCCTACTCATATGCTGCACTCTACCTCCTCCTCAATTATGCATTGCCTCTTATGTGACTTGGTTTCGGGGAAGTAAAGGGTTCTTCTTTTTAGATTCTTATAGAGGTTGATCATCTACAAGATGTACCTAGCCCTTACATACAAATTAAAGGGGTCAATAAAGAGGTTGTGGCAGCTGCTGGTTCAACACTCAAATTAGATGGTTCATATACGACCAAGGTTTTGACTTTCATCTTCTTTTTTCTTTCTGATTTGACATTACTATTACTATCAGAATTCTGTCTTACATCAGAAACAGTCCAAACCGATAGCTTACTTTTTTGAATTTCTTACAGAGTTATCTTCAAATAGTTTTAGAAAGGTTGCCTGCATTAGAGAAAAGTTCAAGTGGTATCCATTCTCAACAGGCAGCAAGGTTGCAAGAACTTGTGGAATACATACAATCTCAGGTAACCTTATTTGGTGGGCTGGCATACCTCAGTTTTGTAGTTTATCATTGATATATTGATATGAGATGAAGGTAGAAGGGAGCTTCGGGAACGCTGACGCTTGGTTTTGCATATACCGACATGATAATCTACTGCTCTATCTTTCCTGTTATAGTTTGATAACTAGATAGAAGTGGTTGAGGGCCAATATTTACTTCAATAATTTGTCTTTCAAGTTCCTCATTGTTCATGCGTTTGCTGAGAACATTTTTGTTCAACATGCTTTTAGTGTTATTTTTCAGTCTTACAACTGAAATCCGAGATTGGCACAAGATAGCATTTGATACAAATATAGGAAGCATATAAGATTTGGCTTAACCTTCAACCTGAAAACTTGATTAGGCTGTTCAATTAATGATGGTAAAGCCCACTGGTCGACTTGGACGGTAGTCTGGACATGGTTGTTTAAATTGCTTTTTTTAATTAAAGAAGAATGGTTGTTGAAATTGGTTTGCCCTAGAAATTCTGCTTATAGTTCTTTCTTCCTCCAAGCTTGAAGTTCTTCAAGGCTATCTATGAGGTTTTCATTTTCTTGTTTTCTTTTGTTTTATTTTTTTCTCTTTTTCCTTTAAAACTATATAAAGCTCCTTCTTGGTTAAAATTTTCTTTTTCTTCTAATATGGAAATAAACATTTTTGGTCAGAAGAAACACATTTTCCAACAAATGAGGAAAAGTGTTTTCCTTCACAACATCTCAACTCTTAATTTCATATCACTGCTCCTACCAATAAGTAGACATTATTATGGATTTTAATACTCAATTTTTTTCATCAAACACTACTGTTACCCTTTTTTTTTAAAAAAAAAAATCATCAAAACACTCTCCGGTTTGTTAAAGTTATCATCTATCTTTAATAGTATTTTCTTTGGAAATGTTTTCAACTATCAAACCAAACAGCAGAAAACATTTTCCAGAAAGTCATCTTCCAGAGAACATTTTTCAAAAAATATCTTCTGTCGTACCAGACGCATAAGATAATTGCAGGAGTACCAAGTTTTGACAGCGAAGGCCATATGGCTGACGGTGTCCAGTAAAGGAGTTTTTTTGCGTGCTTCCCATTAATTCATGAATCATGTATGCCTTCATGTGATACACCACCGATTTCCCTCAGCTACACATACTAGTTTGACATTATGGTATGCTTCTACAGTGTTATAGTATGTAGATTGAGCTCACTCACATACTACTTCGACGTTGTGGAATGTTGGTACACTGTTATAACATCCAGGTCGAGCTTACTGCATGATATCAAGTCTAATGGTTAGTCAGCCTCTTATTGATTAGTGTTTTGTGTATTGCAAGCAGGGAAGCAGTTCATCTTCAGAGTCCTCGCCCAGAAGAGAGATTTCACCATTGGATGGTGTAATTGAAGACATGCAGTCAAGAATTAAAAGGCTTGAACGATGGCAAATGATCAATACGGTATTTCCATTCCTCTCTTGTTTTCTTGACTGCCTCTCACCGTAAAAGTTTGAATTCTGGCTTAAATTCTTTCATGTATTCACAGGTTCTATGGACATTTTTTATGTCTGCTTTTGTTGGTTATTCACTCTACCAGAGGAAGAGGCAATAGAAGGGTTATAAAGTTGATTCAGCAAAGCTAATGCTTGACCATCAGTGACTGGCTCCTTTGAACAATCTCATAGCTTCCTGTGATCGTCACATTTTTATCGGGTGATTGATCTACTTCTAATTGACTTTCGATTTTATGCCCTGAAATGTATGATGTGTGGCTCCACATCTGTAAATACTAATCTGCAACTGCTCAAAGAAATGCGAGTCATCCGTAATCAATGTTGCAAAAGTTTTCTAATCAAAACTGAATATTTTTGTGTCCTTGCCAGTTGCCACTTCTCTGTGTGGTTTAATGTATGATTCCAGCTAACTCTTAGGGATTGTTTGGTAGGATGTATACATGTATTAGCTTTGGTATTATCAATCCCTTATTTGGTAGTGTTTTTCAACCTATGTATAACTATACCTATATTAGTTATACACCCTATTCAGGACTATTCTTATACATAGCAAACCATGGCATTAGCAATACCATGGTTTTCAATACATGGATAAAGCATGTATAAATGCAACTGCTCTTTCAAATCCTTTTCCAAAGAATGTGAAGGGTATTTTTGTAAACAAATAATTTTAAAAAATAATTATGCAATGCTTTTAATACGTCAAACCAAACAGTTAATAAGAAATAATTCCAGCATAACTAATCCCAACATTACTAATACACCTATTCAGTACTATTCTTATACACCCTATCAAACGTCCCCTTATAGTTTTAAAAGCTGAGGATCCATGCACTTCGTTTATTTATAAGGTAGAAATGCTGCTAATTAACTAGATAAAGTGGCTGTGATGGTCTGAATCAGTTCTACTGATAGAAGATTTCTCATGTTTCTAGCTGTTTTGGTTGGTCAAATGCTGTTTGCTAGACGAGAAAACTTGAATAAGAAAGGTGAAGGGAAAGCAGAAAGTAACTTTCTTTCAATTGCTTCTTGGCCAGATCACAGAGGACTGTTTTGTTTGTTGTAAGTGAATAAATATAATCTGGCATAAAATTCTGCAATGTTAATATGACATTTGATTTCCCATATTAGACTTTCATTTCTTATTCTGCATATAGTTTCCAGTATAAATTTTCTAGAAATAATACTTGCATAACAATTCATGTGTTATTATTATTACTTGTTAAGTGTGGTAAAAAGCATTTCGATGATAATAACCCTTGCATAGTTGTGCGAATAAATGTCCTCTTATTTAGAGCGGTGATTTGGATAGCTTTGAGGGAATGTCTACATTACAACAACGACCAGTGCAAACAAGTGGGGTTTGGGGAGGGTAGTGTAAACGCAGACTTTACCCCTACTCCGGAGGAGTAGAGAGATTGTTTCCGATAGACCCTCGACTCACAACGATGGTAAAGGATAGTGGAGCAGTAACATCAAAGGAAGTAAGAAAGAAAACACCAGCAACATGGCAACCAGAAAGCAGAAAGAAAAACAATAACAATAAGCAGTAACAATGACACAGTACTACAGACACAATGGAAGTAATAAGGACACAACAAGAGCCTCTAACATCCTAAGACAAAATACTATCAAACTAGCCTCCTACAATCTAACCTGCAACCCTAATGAGGTAATATGAACACAACAAGAGCTACTAGTAGTCTAAGACACAACTTTGTCATACTAACCTCCTACCTCCTAACCTACAACCTTAATGCTTGACCTTCACATCTTCCTATTAAGGGCCATTTATCCTCGGAAATCTGAAGCCGCACCATGTACTGCCTGATCACCTTTCTCAAATACTTCTTAGGCTGCCCTCTACCTCTACTCATACCCGTAAAGGCCAGCCGTTCACACCTCCTTACCGGGGCATTCATGCTACTCCTTCGCACGTGTCCGAACCATCTAAGCCTAGCTTCTCGCATCTTGTCTTACATGGAAGCCACGCCCACCTTCACCGGGATATCTTCATTCCTTATCCTATCCGGCCTAGTGTCCCCGCACATCCATCTCAACATCCTCATTTCTGCCACTTTCGTCTTTTGAATATGAGAATTGTTGACTGACCAACACTCTGCACCATACAACATGACCGGTCTAACCACTGCTCTATAGAACTTACCTTTTAATTTTGGGACACCTTCTTGTATTCTTTCGTTGAAATGAAAAAGTATTTTCTCAATCGCAAGCTCAATTCTACTCACTTCTAAATGGCATTATTAAACTATCTATTTATTTTTGTGAAACTTTTGTATGTGAATAGAATACTCAATTGAAAATATTTGTATAGACGACACTAGTTATTTAGTATAAAAGGTGTATTTATTGCTATATTATACTAGTTTTGGTCTTTGTTAGAACTTAGAAGTCCTTTATTCTGCATATGGACGTGTATGTTGGTGTAGTGATAAGCATGGTTTTAAAGAACCTCTAGTTTTTAGAGAACTTATAATATACCTTAAAACAACAACAATAACTATGCTCAATCTCAAGTAAGATGGTATAGGATATATGAATTCTTGTTGAACATGTCGATTTTGTATTATGGGGATTCATCATAAATTGATTAATTATATGCTAATCGTCAGCATTGTTGTACTACTCCTTTATTCGAGTTTGGAACTGGCAATGTGAGTAGACTCGCAAAAGTGGAGTTGCCTTAAAAGACAAGGAGTATGTCTTCTCCACCTCAACTGTAGATGTAAGTTGTGGAAGAGATTGAAAATATAACGGTTGCTTGATAATGCTTTCTTAAAAGTCAACAATTCTCTTAGCTAATTTTGCTTGTACAATTCAATGATTGCATATCTAGTGAACCTAAGGGGAAAATAGGTTATTTTTTATGCTTTTGATTGAGTTCTTAATCAACCAAATAGAATTACAAAGGTGGAGATGAAAAAGCTAAGCCGCAGCAGCTGAATTTATTTTATAGTATGTCAAACATTGTCTGGTATTTGATATTTTATTGTTGAGGAAAGTGAAGCTACTGCTTCTTCGACTGTTAAAAAAAGGCAATCTGGTCTCATCATATCTTTAGTTTCATCAGCCCTCTGTAATTTTTCCAGTACTTCTCCTATTGGATTCACCAATACAAACTGCAATGCCAAAATCATTAAGGAAATAAATACTCACATAATATCAGAATAAATAGAAAACAAAATGGTCTTCTAAAAGCTAAAGTACACTTGCCTCAAGGCCTTTCTTTTCCATTGCCATACTCAAATCCTTGAACAATGAGACTCCACTTGTATCAATGGCAGTCACAGCTGAAGAATAAAAAACAAGCCACAATCACTTTTCAAGTTGAAATTAATTTGTTTTATTTATGGGAATTTCTTGATGTCCTGACTGTTTCTTGGTATTATCTAAAAGTAGGGGTAAGGGCAGCCCGGTGCACTAAACTTCCACTATGCGCGGGACCCGGAGAAGAGCCGGACCACAATGATTTATTGTACGCAATCTTATCCTGCATTTCTGCAAGATATTATTTTCACGGCTCGAACCTGTGACCTCCTGGTCACATGACAACAACTTTGCCAGTTATGCCAAATTGGGAATAAATGACAATATTGAGAACGTCTCTATGAACTTACCAGACAAATCAAGGACCACAAATCTAAGCCCCGACTCTTTCTTGTTTTTTTCTCCCTCTGCATCGTAGTCTTCTATCCATCTTGAAATCCTTTTTTTTCGGGGCAAATAAAAAGACCTAAATAAATATGGAAAGAAGAAAAAAAGAAGAAAAATGAAAGATAGAATGGTCAATGCAGCAGTTCAACTAATACTAACCTTTCTTTAAGATAAGTTGCATTGGCAAAGTTGATTGGAGCTTCAATACTTAAAATGAGAAAACCAGGAACACTCATAGCCTCCTTATAATGATCAAGATTTCTATAAATCCCAGTACCAGGTATATTTCCTAACATTACTGTTTTGGGCCTTGTAATTTGCAGCAACACCTTTAAAATTGATATTCCAATCTGAAATTCATTATAAAAGAAAGTCAAAAACCAAGTAACGTAACAACAACAACATACCCAGTATAATCCCACAAGTGGGGTGGGGAGGGTAGTGTGTACGCAGTCTTACCCCTACCTTGTGCAGGTGGAGAGACTGTTAAGAAAAAAGGAAAGGAACTTGAGAGGGAGCTTACTGCAATGGCAAGACCATTCTGAACAGAAATGAAGATGACTCCGAAGAATGCACATAACAAGACTAGGAAATCGAATTTATCGATCTTCCAGATTTGGTAAGCAGCTGGGATGTCGATTAGGCCAACGACAGCAGTGACGATTATGGCTCCGAGCACAACATTGGGAGTATATTGGAAGAGGGGCATTAGGAAAAGGAGTGTCACCATTACTGTCACTGCCATTACTATGTTAGAAACTGCAGTTTTGCTTCCTGCATTGTGATTCACTGCTGACCTAGAGAATGCACCTGAAAATGTAGAGTTACATTTAAAGGATTCTGCAGTTTTAGAGATTCTACATCAACAACAAACAAACCCAGTGTAATTCCACAAGTGATGTCTGGGGAAGGTAATGTGCACATAGACCTTACCCCTACCTTTTAAAGGTAGAGAGATTGTTTCCGATAGACCCTTGGCTCAAGAAACAGTGAAAATAAAGCAACAAACAGTTTTAGAAATTCTAAACTGTTGAAAGGTTTATTGTACCAGTTGTGACATAGCAGGAAGTTGAGGAACCAACTATGTTCATGACCCCAATAGCAATCATCTCTTTGTTTCCATCCACTTGGTAGTTCTTTAAAGCAGCAAAAGTCCTCCCCACTGCAATTCCTTCCTAATTTTTTTTTTACACAACACATTAAGTAGCCGTTTGGATATAAAAATTGTAATTTTGAAAACAAATACTATTTGGAGTTAAGTTGAAAAATGGTATTTGAAATTTGAAAATTATGTTTGAACATACATTTCACTTGAAAAAATATTGCAGTTTTGTGAGTGGGGAAAAAAGTTTCTCCCAAAAATTTGGAAAAACTCATTTTCAAAAAATCTTCAAAAACTTTCAAAATTTTATGGATAAACATATTTTTTTTTTAAAATTCGGAAAAAAAGATTTATGGACAAACGGGTCCTAAGTTTTCTTTGTGTCTAAAGATATTAGTGCCTGCTATGAGCTTTATAGTCATTATTTATAGATGTTATATTCCAAAATCATAATTTGAGTTCTTTTCCTTTTTCATAAAAAGATAGGTAAAAGAGAAAAAAATTACAGTAAGTGAAAGGATGCCAGTGACAATTCCAGTTTTGATTACAAGTCCCAAGTAGCTTCCACTGAAATGTAACATGTT